ATCAGCCGAGTTTATTTTTCATTTTTTAAAGAAAAGTAGAGTGATTGAGCCTGATATTGGCCCAAATTAATGTTGATGCCAAAATATTAATAGTGATTGGGCTTGGGCCTTCTGCCATCCACCATTCTAACCTAGTAAACTTCTCTAGAAGGTGCAGATTATGCTCTGTATCTCTCTCAATCATTGAATTTCATATCCATTTCCAGTTGTAATGATGAAAGAAAAAAAATTCAGGTCCAACTCTTTAGCTTCTTTCATTTCGTTTTCGATTATAAAGTTGTAACCTTTATGCTTTTGAATCAATATAAATTTTGGATGAAAACAAGTTCTTTCTTTTTTTAAATCTTTTTTGTAAGTTTATATCTAATCTAACCATCATGTAAAATTATATGGGTTCTAATTTTTGTTTATACCGACAAACATTGAACTGGGAGTGCTCTAACACAGTAACACCAGACAGACTAAAATCTTCTACCAATTCTAAATCAAACAGACCAACTTTTGCATTGAGCACTCTGTTCTCTGCTGTTCAACACCACTAAAAAAAAAAAGAACCCCAGGCTTCATTTTTTTCAAAACAAAAACTGAGGCTTTAGTGCATAGATTTTGAGTATCAGCAATACCAACTTGAAAAAAGATTCAGAAGAAGAAGAAGAGCCGGTAATTACCTTCTGCAGAAGCAAGACGCGGAGATTGTGCTTCAACTTTGACTGTGGATATGCAGAAGCAGAGGACCAACATGGCTACCAAAATGACAAGGTCCATGGTGGCTTTTGAAACATCAAAATGAAATCTTGCCATCTCAATCCCTGATGTAATATATCAATTCCCTGATATCTGTATCATCCTTATTCTTTCTTGGCTCAATCTCAGTCTCAATCTCTGTAGTTAATGAAGGGTCCCTCTGAGCCTTTATGAGCCAATGGACTTTTGATGTGCGTGTACAATTTTATTATGTCTCTGACTTCGAACTACCTAGTTGGCCGATTTGATTACATTATTGTCGAGGGAGGTGTTTTGCTTTCCTTGACTATGAAAAGTTTTCCATTTCTTTTTTGAGGCTTTTTTTGTTGGGGCCCATGAAAAGTTTTCGAATCTTTGTTTGGTACGTGAAATTTGACAACATGGACCCCTTTGATTAGTATCCAATTTGTTTAACATGTGCCCTAATCTTGTTCCTTTCCATTTTTATAGACCATTTTTTGTTTCTTATACGAAAAATCATGAGATAAGGAAAAATCGAACACACAACCCTAAGAAATAACTTTACGTAAAAACTTCTTACGCGTTCTTAGTAGAGAGCTATTTTACCCAATATCGGATTAATTTCTTTGCTCTTGATTAATTAATGGGTTAATGTCATATCCCCATTTCGAGTTGGCAGTGAGCCGTTTGATTTGTTTCCAAGATTGGAAATGCCCAGCTCTGTATAGCTTTAGACCTTCACCTGCCCATTGCTATATAATATCAACATACAACTGTCTTGTTTAGATTAAAAAAATATCGATCATAATTGTCTTGTCAGAAGAATATTAATATTTATTCAATAATGCTAGTTCCACATATATATATATATATAGTCTGTGGTTGAATTTTCTGTGGGAAATATACATAATTAGTCTCTGAACTGCTGGTCTGTTTTATACTGAAACAGGATGTGAGAGCATGATGCATGCATGTGTAGCATGCTAAGCCATGCCATCAAGCCATGAAGTAAATTTAGCTAAGTAATCAGAAATAGTAATATACTGGTGGGAAGTTTTATACTATTTCTGATTGAGTTTCTTGATAGCAAAAATATGGACAAGAGAGGTCAATTGTGCATGGCAAACCTTATCCTTTGGAAAGTTGATAAGATAATGACTTGCTCAATTATTGATAAAATATTGTTAATCTAAAATAATTAAATTTATTGTTATTTAAGTAGAAAAAAAAAAAAAAAAAAAGTCAAAATCATTGGTCGGGTCAAACAATTCAACCGGAACCATTGCAATTTCCAAATCCCAAACACATGCAAAAGTCGGAATTGACCCAAAAGCTCTCACTTCGAGTTTGAGGTGTTCAAACTTTCCTCTCCCAGCTCTAATTCCTTAGAACTGAAACCGATGCATGCCATGCCAAGTGGAATTGACAGATTGATCTTGACAATTGTATCGTACGTAAAAGTTGAAGGGCTTTGAATCACTTAAAAATTCATGCCTTTTTTCCCCACTTTGCTCAGCTTTGTCACATAGAGATTGAGCTTGATCTTTATGTATTTGCAAAAACCCAATATTGTTATTTGAAAATATATGTACTACTAGCAGTTAGTTTATCATTACACGAGCATTTGCAAAGTTAAGCGTAAAGAAATGTTTATTGTGAAGAGTTTATGGGTAGAACTTGCCTATTAAAACCGACTTGTAAGAAAATAATGTTTAAGAGCTCATAAACCACTTTAGGATACGCTATTTTTCCAACGTGAAATCTTGAGTCCTAGCATTTACATTAGCAAGAACTAGTACTGGGATTGATTTTATAGAGATCAGAAGACGTCGTAGTAGCAGAAGAACCAATCCATGGTGCATCTGACGATGAAGGAACAAGGCTCGGAGTTTGACTTGGATTCTGTGATGAATTGTGATCAAACTGGTTTGTCAAGGCTTTTAACCTCAGTTCATCACCGTAAGTACTTGGATCCGTGACCAATTCATGAACAGCCGTACGTCCTTCAAGCATACTCACAACTGCAGACATGGCAGGCCTAAGCGCTGGTGCTGCGTTGATGCATAAGAGAGCAACTTTAATCATCCTAATGGCCTCTTCCTCACTCACATCGGACCCCAA